TGGGGGGGAGGGTGACGGTGGCGCTGCTGGTAAATGTGGGGGTGTCTCTGTGGTGGTGGGAGGGGCTGGTTCATCTGGACCGGAGGGGGCGGGGCCATGAACTGTGGACGAACCAGGGACTGCATCACCTGGTTGAACCTCAGGTCGGCCTGCGGAGGAAGGACGGAACGTTAGCGGCACGAGAATGAGCAGGAAGTTTCTGTCTGCATGAACGGATCAAGAACAGCAACTAGAACGAGCAACTCCTGGAGACACTGCAACTGTGATTGCTGCCACTTTGGGGAGTGAAGCGGCTCGTCCGGACCGCCCGGCCGGCCGGCGCCGTCTTACCGTAGGAACCTGAGGCAGCGTCGGTAAGTTGATCCTGGGGAGGGACTCCGGCTCCCGTCCCTGCTGCAGCTGCTTCAGAACCTCCTGGAAGCGACCCTGCAGCTCGGCCTGGTTCCTCCGGACCTGACTTTCATTCTTCTCCCACTTGAGCCGCTCGTGAGGGTACTGCTGTGGAAACTCCACCCGCAGAGTGTTCAGGTACTGAGCCACCTGGGGCAGGGCAGGACAGGGTTGGAGAAGCAGAACTACATGTCAAAGGACCGGTTTTAGGGTTTATAGGAGTGTTTCTAACGCTCTGCACCAAAAACCTGCCAGTGGGTTTGAAGGGTGTGGTTGTTCCGGTAGATCAATGGTAGCAACTGGACTTGCTGGAGTTCCATGAAGACGTTCCACCTTCATCCAAGAGGCTCCATCAGCTCTGACTAGTTGGGAGTTCCAGATACTTGTAACCTAAGGAGCCATTAACACCTGAGTTTCAGTTTTAATTGGGGGTTTGTTGCTCCTCCCCCTCGTTATGCAAGTCGTTAGGACTCCCTCTGCCACAACAGGGTTCGTTAAGACTCGCATAACGAGGATATCAGTATCTGGAACTCCCAACCAGTCAGAACTGATGAAGCCTCTTGGATGAAACGTCTTCAAGGAACTCAAACAGGTCCAGCTGCTACAATTAATCTACCAGAAGAACCAGGACCTGGAGGACTGAGGATCTTCACAGACAAAGGTGTGTTGAGTTTAGAAAATAAAATCCCCCAAACGACCTCATTTAACAGCCAGAAAACAGTAAGAAGATTCCAGGATGTTTATGATGATCGCTTCATCGCAAATTTAAAAAAATATAAATTTCAACCGATTAAATACGTGTGATCCGATTCAGCAGCAGACAAAGTCGTGCATGTCAGGTAATATATGGTGCATTAGTGTTGTCAAGCAGAGAGCATTGTGGGGGTTTAGCGAACAACGAGCACCTCTGTGGCCGCTGGTGACTCCTGACCAGAGGTACAGGTGGTAAAATATGAATCCCTAAGCGGCCACACAAAGTAAATTCTGTGGTGAATCCTGTGAGATCGTAGCTCAACGCAGCGCTATCGTAGCACCGCTAACGATGCTAACTATCAGCAATGTGCATCCCTAGAAAGAATCCTCATACCGGGGTTATTATGGACAGATTATGTATTTGCAATACGAGTCTTTTACACTGAAAAAGTAAAACAAAACAGCAATATTTATGTGATTTAAGGCTGAGGTCTGGAGTAAACCAGCCTGTTCTGGAGATAATGTGATGTTTGTTGGAGGACGCCAGAGAAAGAGCAAAACTACACAGTTCTGTAAGAAAAGAACCTAAAACAGGAAAATAATTCATTAACTTCTGTCCTACGTCTTTATGATTGGTGGCGTCAGACGGATGTTCTGGTTCCACAGAGCTGCAGGACGTTATCGTCGTGAACCATGAGCCACAGAGAAGGAACATGAAGCAGAACAAAATGCCTGATAAACCCGTTGTTGCCGCCGTACCTCCCTGATCCAGGCCTCGATGCGCTGCATGGCCACGTCGCGCTGCGTCTCCACGGCGACGATCTCGTCCTGCAGCGCCTGCAGCTGAGCCTCCTGCGCCTCCTTCCTGGTGCGCTCCATCTCCCTCCTCAGCTCCTCCAGCTCCTGCTGCCACCGACGCTGCTCCTCGCTCTGCTCCTCCGTTAGCGCCGCCAGCTTCCGCTCGCTCTCCTCCAGCTCCCTGGCCGACCTGATCGACCAATCAGAGGGCAGGAGGTCAGGTCACGGTGCTCGGTTCGGTTTTATTTCTGTCACTGACGCCTTGTTTTTAAAGTACAGTCAGTTTGTTTTAACCATCTACTCCTAAAGTCACAGGAACATCTTCTAAAGGCAGCTTTCATGGACTCAGAGCACTTATGGAAGAGATAAAGAGGCCTGGATCAGAAGATCTGCTGCAGCATCATGACAGTCGATGGAAGTCAGACAAAGACAGTAACAGGTGTTGAAATGGTCCTAAACCTGCTGATCCTGACACAACCTTCACTTCTTTCCATTCATTTCTCTCACGTCTTACTTGTTCCTCTCGTCCTCTGCTCTGGTCTTTTCCGTCATCATCTCCTGCTTCTTGGTGAGGAAGTTCTTCCTGGCCACCTTCGAGTTGTTCAGCTGCAGTTTCACTCGCAGAGACTCCAGTTTGTCCAGCAGAGCCTGAAAACACAGTCAGTCAGTCATGTTCTGTACATGTGGTTACACGCTGTGATCAGAGGCGGCCTGCAACAAGAAGCTCTTTCTCTGGAAGTGATGCCTTCAGGCTCCACTGCTGCTGATCACATGGACAAAGAAAAGACCTTCTGGAGGAACGTTCTGTGGTCAGATGGAACCAACACTGAGCAGAACCATGTCTGGAGGAGAGAAGGTGAGGCCTTTAACCCCAAGAACACCAAACCTATCACCAAGCATGGAGGTGGCAGCATCATGCTCTGAACTGGAGCTTCACACAAAGTAGATAGAACAATGAAGAAGGAGGATCACCTCCATGTTGTTCAGGAAAACCTCAACCATCAGCAGAAGGTTGATCTTGGACACAGTTGGATGTTCCAACCAGACAATGAGTCCAAACACATCAAAGTGGTGAAGAAATGGTTCCATCAGGCTGGAATGAAGGTTCTGGACTGGTCTCCCCAAAGTCCTGACTGGAACCATCCAGAACCTGTGGACTGATGAAGGAACAAGTCTGAGTCAGAAAGACGACAAGTTTAGTTGAACTGCAGCGATTCTGTCCAGAGGAGTCAGAGATGGACCAGAAGCTGGTGGACGGAACCAGAAGAAACAGAAGAACCCGACTGAGGAGGACGTTTAACCAGGTATTAGCATTTCTGCATGAATGTTTATGACCCAGAAGATTTTCCAGAAGACCTTTAATGAATCTATGAAGGAACCAAAACACTCGATTGTTTCTTGTTTCAATGGTTCCATCGTAGAAGATTCAGAGTTCTGGGAGACTGAATGATAACCTTTGTCCTACCAGATGGACAGAAGCTCTCAGCTGTTTGTGTGTTTCTGGATCACCTGGTGCTGCCGGGTCGCCTCCTCCTTCCTCCTCTGCAGCTGCTGCTTGTGCTTCTCGTGCTCCACCTCCTCCTCGTCCTGCTTCCTGGTCAGCTGCTCGAACTGCTGCTTGAGGGTGGAGCTGTACTCCAACATGGCCGCCACCTGGCTCTCCCAGTCGGGCTCCGTGGAGATGCTGGAGTCGGTGGTGGTGCTGTCGGTCTGGACCGCCTGGACCCTCTGGATTAGGTCTGGGAGGGGGGACGGGACGAAGCCATGAAACGGTGGGTGGAGTTCTAATCGTCAACATTTTATTAAAGGGCGATTTCACCAAATTCACCCAAACTTCAGAACGTTTCCCAGCTCATGTCACGCATTAAAAATAAATAAATAAATAAAATAATGCAAATAAAATCTCCCTAAATCCTGCAGTTTTACTCCAAATGAATATGAAAATGAATTTTTCTACTAATATTTATTCCAATTCCTCTTAATGGAAACCAACGTAAGCCACTGAAAACTACAAAATATGGGTCATTTTCACATTTTTTTAAATAATAAAAGGAGTAATAATAACATCTTTCATTTTTTAAAATATGTATTTAATGAATATAAAGATTTTCCCTAAAAAAAAAAATAATAAAAAAAAAATGTTTCAAGGAACTCAAAACAATCCTTCCTGTTGGAAAAAAACAGCTAAAATGTCCTAAAAAGAGGATTTTCCAGCATCGAGGCTGATTTCAGGAAGACCTGTGGAGGTCCGGTTTGGACGCAGCAACAAATGACGTTTGGATTTAACAAAACTAAGTTTCTACTAAAAACAACAACAAAAAGGTTGGAACTGAGTGAATATCAGTGGAGATATCAACTTTTAAAAATGAAAGATTTTTTTAAATTTTTGATGATAAATGATAGATTTTTTATTATTTTAATTTCTGTTTTTAAATAAATCAGCGTGAGCTTCTGACATGACTATAAGGTCGAAGTTTTTCTTGAGGTTTCGGAGATGTTTATAAATAAATAATAAATCATCTAAATCCTGTGAAAAATAAGCACCTGGTTAAGCTTTAAAGACGCTTTACTTTCAAATATTCAGAACTCAAACAGCACTTGGAGCAGAGCGGTGGGATTTTACAGGATTCAGTGATTTATGTAGAAGTTTTTGTCTGATTTATTTCAAGAAGATTCATGTTAGACGAGCTGCATGTTGAGTGAATTAACAGGGTCAGTATAAAGACTGTACTTGTAAAAACACAGCAACATGGTCGCATTCATTCCTTTTATTTATAAATTAAAACCTGCTTCACTTAAACCTGTCACATGTGGACTAGATTCATCCAGAAGAACTGTTTAAAAACACCTTTAATATATCTGTGAACTGCATAAAAGCCATTTTTCTCCACATGAGAGCAGATCAACAGAAACGCCTCAAATGTGGATTCAATTCTTCCCGACAAGCAAAAGACAGTTTAAAGTTTAGTTTTAGATTTTTAAAACCTTCATTCTGTTTGTAAAAACATCCAAACACGGTGATTGTTCTCATTATTAGCTCAGGTTTAGATCAGTGTACGTGTCCTCCAGAGAAGCTCCACACAGGTTCACTCAGACTTAAGTGTTTATTATATGACTGGAAATACAAGAAAACTGTTTTTTCACTTTGATTTTAATAAACCCAAACCAGAGCAGACCAAGTCTACATAAAGTTAAGTTAAAGTTCAGTTCAATCTTTATTTCATCTGTAAAAACACACATAAAGTGATTTTCCTGCTTTTTTCTCACAACTAAACCACATGACAGCGGATCCGGATCAGGAACTCTGACCCTAGATGAGCAGGAAGAGTTTAAAATGTGTAAAATCTTTATTTTCTGTGTGAAAACCCAGAAACATGAAGGTTTCCTTGTTTCTCTCGCAGCTGCTGCACCTGCTCCTGAGCTGTTCTGTTCTGGATTATTTTACCTTCTAGCGTCAGCTCGTCCAGATCCAGGTCCAGGTCCAGGTCCAGGTCCAAGTCCAGGTCCAGGTTCTGGTCCAGGTCCAGCTCATCCTCCTCCTCCTCCTGGCTCACAACCTGGACTTGATGTTCACCTTCTTCTTCTGGAGCTACGGTAGCCGTCTCCCCGCTAGCCTCCATGCTAACAGAACTACAAAACCGAAACTACAACTCTTCTTCTTCTTCGTTGGATTTTAAACTCGACGTGAGCGCGCGGTGTTAGCCTAGCAGCTAGCTAGCTAGCCAGCCACACACCGAGCGAGTCCCGAAAGTCCCTTTAAGAGGATGTTTATCCTCCGTTAGCTGCCGGTAAAGTCACAGTTTACGGTCACCGCCCGGTGTCTGCTGCTGCTGCTGCTGCTGCTGGTAAACAACACGGAAGCAGCGGTGCGTCGCTGAATGTGGTCCGGCTGAAGCGTCCAGTGGTTCCGGAACGTAAATGTTTAACGTGTGCGTTTGTCTGTTCAGTTTATTTTGCTTATATTAGAATTACTTCCATTCAAAGCCAGAAATATCAACAGTACAAAATATATATATAAGTATAAAAAACATCAAATAAAATCCAAACATAAGTGTAAAAACATGACTTAAAACATGAACATAAGTAAAAACAGTCTGAACTTAAATGTAAAATGTGCTTTATCTCAAACATTCGTCCTTTATAATGTGTTTTTATTGTTCCACAGCCTTTCTTTGTTGACCTTTATTTAACCAGGAAGTCCCTTTCAGGTTAAAAACCTCTTTTAGAAGGCCGAGGCAGCAGCCATACAATCCAAATAAACACAAAACAAGCTTTAACCCTCACATATGTTCATATTTTACTCCTTCAGTCCGGTTCAGGTCCAGATTCCCCTCATATCAGGTGTCTACAGTGTGTGTCTGTGAGATGACAGATGTTGTAAACAGGGCTTTACAAATAAAGTTGAATTGAATTGTCTACACCACATGTTAACTCCACATCTGTCCAGAATGTCCACATGTCACATTAATGAATGTAACACGGCCTGAACAGCTCCACAGCATCCAGGTTCCCTCAGACCTCCATTGTCCTGGATCTGAACCACGCTGGTGGATCTGAATCCATCCCAGTGGTCAGATCTGAGCCGTACAACAGTTCACAAAATATCTTCATTTTTGTCCTTCTGACTTTGAAGAAAGTCATAAATCAATCCTCTCTCTTATTATTCTGGTGTTTAGCAAATAGAGATAATGTTGGTCATGTATTTATGGACCATCCAGCATCATGAAGTGCTTTCATGCCACTCAGCTCTCCGTGGTTTACTGTCAACAGGAGGAATTTCACACTGAATTCATCTTTTTATACCCAAATCTGAGCCGCTGGGCTTCTCTGAGAAGTCAGAAGTTAATCAAGCATCACATTCAGCCGCTAAAACTAATGTTTCTGTTCAGGGATGTGAGTAAATAACTAAAACCCGACATCTGACTCAAGTAACAATGATGTGATTTACTGTTTTTTTTGTATAACAGTAAATAATTATCATTAAAAACCTGGTTGTGGTTGAAGAGCTTCTCCATCCTGGTGGATGAACAGAAACATGAGAAATGATTCTGGTCATGACCACTGCTGATCATCCAGGTTTAGACTGACACTGGGTGGAGGTAACAACAACAACAACAACAACAACAACAACAATAATAATAATAAAAAAAATGAAAAAAAACACAACAACAATAGTAATAATAATAATAATAATAATAATAATAATAATAATAATTATTACTATTATCATTATCATTATTATTATTATGATACCAGCCGCTGTCAGAGGCTCCTGGACCTCCGCGGAGTGAGCCCTCCTCTGGTTCCGCCCTCTCTGCTGCCTCCGTGGTCACATGACGGACCGGACCTCCTGACCGGCCTCCGCCTCTCGGCTCCCCGCCGTCACTCCGCCGCTCTCCGCCTCTGTGTCGGCGGCTCTGCTAGCTCTCTGTTAGCCCCCATCGGCCACCGACCACCGGATCATGGCGGACGCAGCCAGGGACCCTCCGCCGGAGAGCACCGACTTCCACGAGCTGGAGGACGGGGAGGAGCTGTTCCCGGAGCCGGCGGCCGCTCCGGAGGAGGTGAGCGGGGCGGCGGCGGAGGGGAGGCCGGAGGGGGAGCTGCGGCAGCCGGCGGGCTGCGATGCTCCGACCGGGGGGGGGCGGTGGGCGCCGAGGAGCCGGGCTCGGTCCGGTTCGGTCCCGCGGCCGGCTCCTCGGCGCCCCGCGTTTGCTTCGTCATCGGGCGGAAAAGGAGCCGCGAACCGTAAACAACGGCGACGGTGGCCTTCGGGGCGACGGTACCGGAGCCGAGCAGGGCCAGTTAGCGCGAAGCGACCGAAGTGTGTTCGCTGCCGGTCAGGTGACGGTCACACAGGTGAGCGTGGTGCGTTCAGGATCAGTCAGGTGATGGACACAGGTGAGCGTGGTGCGTTCAGGNTTAAAGTAGTGGTTTAGTGTCTTTCTGTAGCTGCTCAGAGCCTCTTAGTTGCAGTTTTCCTACTTCAGATGGTGGCTGTTGGCCTGTTTGTGGCCGTTTTGTGTCTCTTTGTGGTCGTTTTATGGCCTGTTGTCGCTCTTTGTTGCTGTTTTTATACTTTTAGCTCGTCGCTTCAGGCTTGTTCTTGGACGTTTCTTGCGTCTTTGTGGACATTTTGCATCTTGTTCTTGTTGTTTTGCATCTCTGTGCTGCTGTTGTCCTTCTTCAAACAGGTGTTTTTAGTCATTTTACATCTCTTTTTAGTTCGTGTAGTGATTTTGTGTCTCTCTGTGGTTGTCTGGACTCTCTCTGCGTCCGTCCTCTTCAGCCTGAACACTTAATTCCAGATGTTTTCTAGTTTACACGTCTCAACCTTGTTCCGTTTATCCGACCGACCCTGGAGCCAGATGTTTGACGTCTGCGAGTAGAAACGAGTAGAAACGAGTAACTGGTGCGACAGAAGCTGCAGCTGTGACTGTCGACTACGTTTAGATCCTCCAGACTGGAGGAGGAGTGACGCCTCCTGTTCACGCAGATCTGTGGTCGTCAGGTTCAAACAGTTGATCAGAAAAAGTTTCTTCCTGAATCATGTCGCAACACACACACACACACACACACACTCACACACACTCACACACACACTCACACACACTCACACACACACACACACACACACACACAGGCCTGTTTTCGTGTTTTCGTCGTGTCAGCGTTCTGGTTTCATTCCTGGCGATGATGACTGTGTTCCTCGAGTGTCACAACCCTTCGCTTGTGTGTGTGTGTGTGTGTGTGTGTGTGTGTGTGTGTGGGTGGACTGAGGTGAATCCGTTTGATAAGAACCTCGTTAATCCTCCAACGTTCTCTTCTGCTGATTTAGCTGCAGGTGTTTCTATTATTTTGTCCACCCCCCCTCTGTTTTTTTTCGACGTGGCTCCTCTGAATCCTCCGACACTCTTTTTCCTTTTCCTTCTCTTCTGGCTTCGTTCAGCAGCTTCCTGTCGACCGCTGGTTCCTGCTCACCAGGACGTTTGTTGACTGAACACAAACGGATGAAACTCAGAAAAATAAAGTTTAAATGTGATTTTAACTGGATTTAAAGAAAAAAACAAGTTAATTGTTTTACAGATTCTCCTTTTTTTGTTTTTAACCGTTAAGAAAACATTTGTTTACTAAATACAAACAGATAAAACTCATTAAAACAAAGTTTTTTAACTGGATTTTTTGGACAAATTTTCCCATTTTCCCCATTCATCATCACAGATAATCACCAGTAAAACCACAGATCAAAGTATTTTTACATTTTCATCTAAAAATAATCACGCTCACATCAAAATAATCTGTTTTTACATTTAACTGTTTTTTTCTGCATTTATCAGTAAAATAAAAAAACAAATTCAACTTGTAATTTTACAGATTTTCTCTATTTTGTTCACATATTTAGTAAAAATAGAAAAAAAAAGAATTAATTTACTCGTTAATTTAAAACAGAAATGTACAAAAATCAGTGTTTCTACAAATAACTGCTTCTGTTACGTTTATCAGCAAGCAAAACTAAAATTTATTTTCTGCTAAATTAAAAGAGTAGTTTTGCATGTTGAGGACTGATCATTTATGAGCTAATTAATAAATTATTTCACAGATTTTTCTCTCTTTAGTTCAGATGATATTCAGTTAAAGACAGAAAAAAAATATTAATTTACGTGTTAACCTTAAAAAAACTGTAAATAATGTTCACATAAAAAAATCTGCATTTTTATCAAAAACTAATTTGTTCCCCGTTAATATGACATTAATTAACTGTTTTAAATCAGCTGAATTTATAATATAATGATTTCACAGTTCTATTTATTATTTAAACAGTTTTTAAACACAACAATATTTTTAACATATTTTTTTCTGGCACCTTTAATGTCAGATTTTCACTTTTTTATTTTGTTTATTTTTTTTTACAGATTTATTTTATTTTATTTTATTTTATTTTGTTTTATTTAATTTATATTTTTTCTACAGACCACTCTCAGGAACCGACCCTTAATGATTTAATCTGTGGGACTTCTGAGTGACATTTTCCTCCTTTTTCCACATTTTCACAGATTTCTGATCCGTTATAATTAATTTCTGAGTTTGTGTTTCTGGGCTTTGAGTCTCGGTTTGATTTTATGAGATTCAGAAAATAGAAAAACATATAAAACAGAAAATATTGTTCTGGGCAAAGNACACAGGTGAGCGTGGTGCGTTCAGGATCAGTCAGGTGATGGACACAGGTGAGCGTGGTGCGTTCAGGGACGGTCAGGTGACAGACGTGCGTTCGGTCAGGTGCGTGGTGCGTTCAGGGATGGTCAGGTGATGCAGGTGAGGGTGGTGCGTTCAGGGCCGGTCGGGTGATGGACACAGGTGAGTGAGGTGCATTCAGGCACGGTCAGTCATGTGATGGTCACACAGGTGAGCGTGGTGCGTTCAGGGCCAGTCAGGTGGAGGTTGTTGTAGCAGGTCACATCAGGTGAAAGTTAATTTATTGTCTTTGTAGTTAAAATAAATGAAGTTTAAATGACATTAGCATCAATAACAACAGGTTTTATTGATAAAAAGACAAAAACAATCTGTCAGGCAGTTTTCAAAATGAGTAAAAAAAAAACAGAAAAATGTCCAAAAATCAGATTTAAAAGCCAAATGTGCTGATGGATCATGAACTTATTGGGTTGAACTAATATTAGACACGTTTAGTGGTTAAAGGGACAAAAATAATCCAATTAAAAAGACTCAGAATCAGATTAAAGTTAATTCAACTGATGTAAACGTTGACAACAACAGTTTTCGTGGTTAAAATAAGTCGATGATCCATCGTCAGCATCCAGCAGCTGCTTTAACACGAGTGACTGAAAACAAGAAGAACCTGTGAGTTTAAAAGCCAGATGTAGAAATAAATGATGATTTAGGTTTAAATCAGACCAGAGCTCAGAACTGATTCATCACTGAGGCAGAATTCAGAGTTTGACATCAGTTATGACGCTTAAATCAGGATTTCAGGCGTTTTTCAAACAAAATGAGTCGAATGTTTTCAGCTTTTAGCTTCTAAATGTGAGAATTTGATGCTTTTCTGCGTCACTAATGACGATAAACTGAATGTTTTGGAGCCTTAATAACCCAAAATATATGTTTAATGAATGTTTTCTGACAGAATAATGTCTGGCTGCAGCCCTGTGGTCACGTTTAATGCAGGAAACGTTTCTTCAACGTAATAAAGACAGAACAACAGATTGTGGAGTCAGCAGTCACAGCTTTTGTGGCCGTTTCATGTCGTGTTGTCGCTCTTTGTTGCCGTTCTTATACTTCAAGTCGTCGTTTTGTGTATTTATTGCATTTTTTTAAGTCATTGTACATCTAATCGGCGCCTTTTTGACTTTGACTACTGATTTTTCTCTCTTTTTTTTGTGGTTTTCTACTTTAGCTCGTCGTTTCAGGCTTGTTCTTGGACGTTTCTTGTGTCTTTGTGGTCATTTTGCATCTTGTTTTAATTGTTTCGCATCTCTGTGCTGCTGTTTTTCTATTGCAGGTTGTTGTTTTGTGTGTCTTTGTTGGTTAAAGTAGTGGTTTAGTGTCTTTCTGTAGCTGCTCAGAGCTTCTTAGTTGCAGTTTTCCTACTTCAGATGGTGGCTGTTGGCCTGTTTGTGGCCGTTTTGTGTCTCTTTGTGGTCGTTTTATGGCCTGTTGTCGCTCTTTGTTGCTGTTTTTATACTTTTAGCTCGTCGCTTCAGGCTTGTTCTTGGACGTTTCTTGCGTCTTTGTGGACATTTTGCATCTTGTTCTTGTTGTTTTGCATCTCTGTGCTGCTGTTGTCCTTCTTCAAACAGGTGTTTTTAGTCATTTTACATCTCTTTTTAGTTCGTGTAGTGATTTTGTGTCTCTCTGTGGTTGTCTGGACTCTCTCTGCGTCCGTCCTCTTCAGCCTGAACACTTAATTCCAGATGTTTTCTAGTTTACACGTCTCAACCTTGTTCCGTTTATCCGACCGACCCTGGAGCCAGATGTTTGACGTCTGCGAGTAGAAACGAGTAGAAACGAGTAACTGGTGCGACAGAAGCTGCAGCTGTGACTGTCGACTACGTTTAGATCCTCCAGACTGGAGGAGGAGTGACGCCTCCTGTTCACGCAGATCTGTGGTCGTCAGGTTCAAACAGTTGATCAGAAAAAGTTTCTTCCTGAATCATGTCGCAACACACACACACACACACACACACTCACACACACTCACACACACACTCACACACACTCACACACACACACACACACACACACACAGGCCTGTTTTCGTGTTTTCGTCGTGTCAGCGTTCTGGTTTCATTCCTGGCGATGATGACTGTGTTCCTCGAGTGTCACAACCCTTCGCTTGTGTGTGTGTGTGTGTGTGTGTGTGTGTGTGTGTGTGGGTGGACTGAGGTGAATCCGTTTGATAAGAACCTCGTTAATCCTCCAACGTTCTCTTCTGCTGATTTAGCTGCAGGTGTTTCTATTATTTTGTCCACCCCCCCTCTGTTTTTTTTCGACGTGGCTCCTCTGAATCCTCCGACACTCTTTTTCCTTTTCCTTCTCTTCTGGCTTCGTTCAGCAGCTTCCTGTCGACCGCTGGTTCCTGCTCACCAGGACGTTTGTTGACTGAACACAAACGGATGAAACTGATAAAAATAAAGTTTAAATGTGATTTTAACTGGATTTAAAGAAAAAAACAAGTTAATTGTTTTACAGATTCTCCTTTTTTTGTTTTTAACCGTTAAGAAAACATTTGTTTACTAAATACAAACAGATAAAACTCATTAAAACAAAGTTTTTTAACTGGATTTTTTGGACAAATTTTCCCATTTTCCCCATTCATCATCACAGATAATCACCAGTAAAACCACAGATCAAAGTATTTTTACATTTTCATCTAAAAATAATCACGCTCACATCAAAATAATCTGTTTTTACATTTAACTGTTTTTTTCTGCATTTATCAGTAAAATAAAAAAACAAATTCAACTTGTAATTTTACAGATTTTCTCTATTTTGTTCACATATTTAGTAAAAATAGAAAAAAAAAGAATTAATTTACTCGTTAATTTAAAACAGAAATGTACAAAAATCAGTGTTTCTACAAATAACTGCTTCTGTTACGTTTATCAGCAAGCAAAACTAAAATTTATTTTCTGCTAAATTAAAAGAGTAGTTTTGCATGTTGAGGACTGATCATTTATGAGCTAATTAATAAATTATTTCACTGATTTTTCTCTCTTTAGTTCAGATGATATTNGCCACGCCCACCAGTGACATCACAGCGCAGAGCTAATTAAACACCTGAGGCCACGCCCACCAGTGAGGATCACATGACCAAGGCGTCGCAGCTTTACGGCGTTTCCACCGTGTCGGAGCTTCAGACGTTTCTCTCTGAACGTTTCCATTAACGTTTAAACATGGAGACGGGAATAAAAACCGCTTTATTACGTTTTATTATCGTTTCAGAAAGTCCTTCAGCGGCTAAACTTTCCCCCGTCGTGCAGTAAAAGCGCCTCGTGGACGTTTTATGAGGCCGTAAACCAGCGTTTGAGCTGCAGCTGGAGTGAAGTTCTGGTGGAACGAAGCTGCAGATCCTCCTGGTTCAGCTTCTATCAGCTCAGAGTCACGTTTAGTTTCCTTTAAGCTGGAATTAGATCTGGTTTTCTGCCCCGTCATGTCTCTGATGTTTAGTTTGCTTTAAGCAGGATTCAAAGAAAAAGACAGAGTCGTGATGTCTTCATCCAGAGCTGGAAACCAGGAAGCTTCAAGTTGACTTTCTATCAAGAATTAAATTCATCTGAGAGAAATTAAATGATTTGAGTCGATTAACTTGTGAAAATAACTTTAACTCTTCACCTGAGTGGGACAAACTGAATGTAGTCCCAGTTCCTGATCGATCAGTCCGTCATCAGTTGTCCTGAAGGTAGAAAAACAACAAAGAGTCCTGACGAGCTGTTGAGACTTTAATCCATCAGAACAAACTGAAACTTTGGGAACTTCTTTAAAAGCAGGAAGCTCATTGCGTCACACGAGAAGAACAGAAATCTGACGGGAAGATCTAAAGATACGACTTTACAAAGTGTTGCGTTAAAACAGAAGCTGATGACTGTCGCGGCTGCAAACTGCTGAACCTGGACTTTTTCTGCTCACGTCCAGCTTCAGTCGCTTCCTCTGAGTCGGTCGGCTTTTCTCTGGAAGCTGCTGCTGGAAGTGACGCTTTGCTGCTTGTTCTGAGGAATCTGTCGAGTCGGCTTCCAGTCGGTCTGATAACGAAGCCCAGTTCTGTTCCTGGACTTCCCCAGAATCAGCTCAGTCTTTATCTGCAGGAACTCTGAAGGTTGAAGGT